AGATCTTTCCATTTCTAATTTATAAATACATTTGGGGTTATAAATTATAAATATACTGCCTCCTGTCAACATTGTATACTTCTATTTGATGATTTCTGTGTCAAACATTATATGGAAATGTTTCCAAGTATTTTCTTATTTTCTGTATTAACTGTGAATGAATAGAACAAAATAAATTGCCTGTGATGGAAAATAAAAAAAAAGAAAAAAAAAAAAAAAGAATCGTACTGTAAATATCTGATATGCAGGACACGTGACCCCAATATGTGGGCATACATATACATGTGATTTTTAAAATTCAACAGCCCCAAAGGCTGTATAAAGTGGCATTCTCCTGCCTTAGTGCTCCCCCCCATACCCCCTTTAACAGTTTCTGCTCTTCTTTGGTTTAATGCCTATCCCATTCCTCCATCTTTTTGGATGTCATGATTTCTAGCCTCTAACATTGTGTTCTGACTTCCAGGCTGACTATCTTATAGTGGGTAGCCATTCCACCTTTGATCTGGAAGTTCCAACCCCCATTGAGGCTTCGGTAACTGTCACACCTACAAGGCGGGCCTGAGAGAGGACCCTGAAGACCTGAGATCTGGATGCACGAGCTCTCTTGGTTCCTGGACCCAGGACGCTGGAGGTAGACCGAGCAGAGTTCTCCAGAGAACATCGCCGGACTGTGCCACGCCTTTCCCAGACCCTGGAACCTATCCCTTCACTTGTAAGTTACCCCACAAAATAAACCTCCCTTTTAACTACGTGGAGTGGCCTTAATAATTTCACCAATACTATCTGGCTGTCACAGGCCACCTCCCTTTCTTTTTACTGACTATCTTGGTGACTATAAATATCTCCATTTCTTGTTGTATCAACTATGGACTGTTCCTTTCTCATATACTCTCCCCCTCTTATAATCACAGATGTTTTATTTTCTAAGGTCAAAAGTCAGGACAAAAAAAAAAAAGAACCCTTTTTAATCACCAGACGACTGTATTATGGGTGCCGTCATGAAATAGAGTTCCTTTCTGTTGAGAATTACGATGTCGGTACCCCTGGCTGTCAGACGCTTCAGGCAGATGGCCAACTTGTTGTTTTACTTCCCAGCCGAGCATCCTCAGCCTGCAAAATGCTTCCAGCTAGTTGGTTATTTTTCATGGTGCTCCCTCTCCAGGGCAGGCCAGCAAAATCTATGCTCAGCCATATGCCTTCGCACCGTGATTAAACCACTGTCCTAACATCAAATAGTGCCGTTTCACTTCTCTTCTTATGAAACAGGGCAGCTTTATCTCAGCAGTACCAGGTGCATGCTAATCCATCAGTAAATATCCAGTATATCAGTGAGTCAAGCATGTGAGACAGGGAGAAATCAGTTCACAAACACCAGGCCAAGGAGAGCAGTGAGAGGGGCGTATGAGGAAGGCAGATGTCTTCCTGATGGCTCTGGGAGGGAAATCTGTGAGGCCAGTTCAGAGGCATCCAGCAGTGCTACACGCCAGCTGTGGATTCTGCTTGTGTTCTGCCCACAGCAGGCCTAGAACTTTGCTATCAAGGGTCACATAATATGTATTTCAGGATTCATGGGTTGTGTGTCTTTGCTGCAATGGACAATCCCACCCCTCTTGGTGTGAAAGCAGTTGGAAATGATTAATACACAGATAGAAAGGACTAGATTTTAATAAAATGTGATTCACAGGGCTGGAGAGACAGCCCGATGGATAAAGTGCAGCATGAAGATCTAGGTTTGGATCCTAGAACTTATGTAAAAAAGCTAGATATGGAAGACATATGCCTGGAGCTTGCCTACCAGCCAGCTTAAGCCAGGACAGTGAGTTCTAGGTTCAGTGAGAGACCCTGTCTCAGAAAATAAGATAGAGAGTCACTGAGGTAGACACTGTAATGCTCAAGTCTGTATGTTGCTTGGCTAGGTTATAGTGCCAGGGTGTTTGATTGATCATTATTCTGAATGTTTCTACCAGGGTAATTTTAGGTACGATTAATATGGACACGGTGATGGACATGGTGGTGCAGGCTTGTTATTCTAGCTACTTTGTGGGCTGAGACAAGAGGATTGCAAATTCAAGGCATGCTTGGACTATAGGATAAGTTCAAGGTCAGCTTGGGGATTTTAGTGAGACCCTGTCTTAAAACAAAAAGTAAGAAGAGGCTGGGGGTATAGCTTAGTGGCAGAGTACCCAACTAACATGTGCAAGGGCCCAGGTTCAATCTCAGTATCAGCACAGTAATAGTAGTAATGATAACAATGATGTACTCAGTGGTACATATTATTATTATTGTTGTTGTTGTTATTTTTTTCAAGACAGGGTTTCTCTGTATAGTCTGGCTGATCTAGAACTCACTCTGTACACCACGCTGGCCTCTAACTCAGAGATCTACCTGCTTCTGTCTCTTAAGTGCTAGGATTAAAGGCATGTGCCATGATAGTCCAGTCATTATTATATATAATATATTAGCATGTGTAATATATAATATGTTATTATATATATATAATTATATATATATATAATTTTATATATTGCTTCCTGTAATGTGAACGAGCCCCCTCCAGTCAGCTCTGTGATTGGATAAAACAGACACTAGCTTTCCCTGGAAAAACTGAACCCTGCCAACAGACATTCTGCAGATCGAACTGCAACTTCAGCTTTTCCCTGCACAAAGGGGTTTCAATTATATCTAAAACCTTTGAGTTTTGCTTAAAATAAGGTGTGTCAAATTTAACATGAAGGGTTGACAAACTGAGCATTGGGTACTATTTTTATATTGAAATATTTTGTAATTAAGAAAACATGAGTTGACATTAAACAAAGTCTACTAGGAAAAAAAATAACTGGTTCAGTGGTCAACACATTACGGGGCTTACAACAGAGACTCTGTCTGGGAAAGTGTGCTGGGATGGAAGTGGGAGCCTCTGGAATGAACAGGTACCGAGGAGGGCGGGTCCCCAGGGTAGCAGTCATGAAGGCGGAATAGGGTTCGCTGCAGACCCAGGGAACAGTGGGTAAGGCCGCTGTGGAGACACAGGCACAGGAAGGCCCTGGAGATAAGGACACAGTCCACACTGCTTGCCTCTCCCAGAGTCCTTTCTGTTTGCTGAAAGGAAGCTATTTGGAAATGGCTATTTCTAACTTTCCTCTGATGAGATTTATCTCCTGGGTGTTTGCCTTGTCAGATGGATTTGTGCTCCTCAGAAATATGCTGGGGTCCAAGTTACCGGGCCTCCTTTTTGATTTCAGGTGTGGCTCTCAGAGCAGATCCTTTGTGTGCATACATGTACATGTATGTGCCTATATGTGCATGCATGTACGTGGAGGACAATCTTGGGTGTTGTTCCTTAGGAGCTCTCCATCTTATTTGTTGAGACAGGGTCTCTTATTGGGACCTGGAGCTCACCAGTTGGTCCAGGCCGCCTGGCCAGAGATCCTTGTGTCTCCCCAGCTCTGGAATTGCAAGCATGCACTGGGGCTAGGCCAGGGAGATGGCTCTGCAGTAAAAAGTGCTGCCAGGCAAGCCTGATGACCTGAGTTTGGTACACATAAAAAGCCATGTGCGGCCGGGCGGTGGTGGTGGTGCACGCCTTTAATCCCAGCACTCAGGAGGCAGGCGGATCTCTGTGAGTTCCAGGCCAGCCTGGGCTACCAAGTGAGTTCCAGGAAAGGCACAAAGCTACATAGAGAAACCCTGTCTCGAAAAACCAAAAAAAAAAAAAAAAAAAAAAAGCCATGTGCATCACCATGTCTGGTTATCATGTGGTTTTTAGTTAGTAGTGATCAGAAAAATCATGACATCACTTGGATTTCCATTCAGTATTAGGGACAGTGTCTGTCTTCCACTGAGTGGGTTAAAAAGGATCCAGGGAGAGGTGCTCGTGTTTTGACCATACCTCTCGAGTCCCTCCTGGTCCATATACAGCTGTCACATGCCCAGCACTGTGCTGACACGTCACAATGTGGCTGGACCAGTGTGTGGATGTGTTGATTCATCATTCTTCCTGGACTCCAGGGCCCTGGGTCTAAGACTCTGGCTCTTTAATATTGAAATTCTCATAGTGCCTGGTACATGGCAGGCTGCATTCAAAGCCCCAGAAACGAACAGAATAAAAGGGAAACCGTGACAGCCCCATAGCAACTACCGTGATAAATGCTGCACCGTCAGGCTGCTGCGAGGAAGGAGGCAGGGCGGTGCATGCCACCATCGTGAAAGGTTCTGTGCTTACGTGTGACACTAATTACACACGCAGGCTGAGAAGTGGTAGTCTAGGCTGACACTGACAAAGCCCTCCCCCTCCTGCTGTGTTCAAGCTTCAGAAGGACCCCAACGGCAGCTGTAGTTATCTCCTTCCCCATCAGAGGGGGAGGGGAAGGTGGGACTGACTAAGAACCTGGGAAAGTATTTGAAGACCAGGATTCAGAACCAGGAACTCCGCCTCCAAATTCAAGCTCTGGCCTAGACTCCAAAAGCAACACAAGATGAAACTCGGAGAGGAGGGGAATTTCTTCTGTCCCAAACAGCAACAGCAGCGGACAGGGACGGATGTCCTGGCTATGCCATGTCTCAGCACAGATGGAGATTTTAAGGTTGATTTTGAATTCGTAAGAAATCTCGACCTGTAGTGGAAATGCTGACATGATCGGATTGGCTGCAGTGTGGAGTGGATTGTGTGGCTGGCCTCCCAAATCTAGATGGCTTTGATAGAGAGACGATTCTAGGAGGCCAGGACTTGACACACAAGGACTTTTTGCAAGGGGGTGGAGATGCTCAGTTTGCAAGACAACTCCTGGAGCAGCCAGAAGGTGGCACCACTTGCAAAGAGGCAACAGCCCAGGATTTCCCCCCCACCCCCACCCCATCTCACAGGGACGGTCTCCTTCAGTTCTGGGTTTGGCTCAGAGGCCACTCTGGGATTGCTGGCCACAAAGAGACGCCAGGGGCCCATTCCCTATGTGCCACTGTGCAGATATTATCTGTGCTCCTTCCCCCATGGGGTCTGCTGAGCAGACAGGCTAGCTGGGCTATGCAATGTTCACTGTTATTATTACCCAGCGTTCACAAATGATGGCCCCAATTACCCACTAAGTTAATTTGAATGCTTACTATGTCCAGGCATTACAATAAAGTTTAGAAATAAATTATTTAAGGCCCACAACAACTGTGTGGTATGAATACTATCTTCCTTTTACAGATCACCACATTGCATTCAGAGAGGTTAAGGTTATGAGGTTTGTCTTAGGTCACAAAGTCAGTCAATGGCAAGGCCAGGATATGAACTCAGTTCTTTGGGGATCTGTAGTATGCACCATAAGCTACTGCCATGTATTGACTCCTCTTCCTGTCTGCCTGACTTCCGCTTCCTCTTCTCTTGCCTTCCTGTCTTCCTTGGGTCCTTTCCTGTTTCCTGGCATCATGCCATTGTTGTCCAAATTCAAGGCAGACCATACTGCACTTCTGACATTGGGAATTCTCAGTGTATCGAGCGGGTTGAGAATGATTGCCACGGGGACCAGGGTTG